AATCCATCCATCTCTTTTTAGGTCTACCTCTGCCGGTTTAATTAGTGCTGTTAAATTAATTATTGTCCAAACAAAAATAAAGTTATGATAAAACTCAGTAATTGATCTGAAGATCTTCGTTATAAGAAACAAAAGCGGGAAATCTCAATCAGTTTTCGATTGCTGTTACGATACTTAGATCGTCTAAATTTATAAAAACTGATTGAAAATGAATATTAAAAATACTTTAAAAGAGTAAAATTGTATAGAGATCGTTTGGTTGAACATCTTTGACAAGCGTTAAAATCACTGCATCAATCGCGAAGTACAATAACCTTGTGTAATGTTACGATCATTATAACACATTATTATTCATTTTTTCAATGAGTAATCAATGTGATTACACAAATTCATGCGCTTTCAATCATAAAGACCTTGACAGTAAAGATAGTAGTATCGTCTGTATTGTATGAAAGCATATAAAAAATCAAATTTAAGTTCAAGGAACCAAACATCATAGTTTTAAATGCGATTATACTGATAGATTGTTCTAGGCATAAAAGTAATAAGTAATAGATAATGCTAGAAAAAATTAAATGCGAATTTACGGTCCACTAAACTCTATTTAAAAAAAAATACCTAAAGAAATTATGCCCGATTTCTGTGTTATTTCCAGAATTGAACGCGGACTGCCATCCCTCTCCCCACACCACAAAAATACTTCGAATTAATATTAGTTAATGCTAACTACCCCTCAAGACTTAACCTGTATCAACGCTCGTAGTGGCGTTTGTCAGGAACTTACTAATACTCTATGTATATGAAGAAATAAAATCTATTGAATGCAGATCTTTTATAAGATTTGTAAAAATAAATCTCGTTTGACCATGACATAACGCGGAGCGTTTGTCCGGCAAACGGGTTAGAAATTAATCGCCCTTGTTGAATGTTAACTAGATATAAGTTAATTACATCTAACCTTAGGTTAATAAATGACGAGTAAATAAAATACTAAAGCTTGAACTCCCGACTCCGTTCGCATGGAATTAAAATAAATCTAAAGTGAGTAGCCTATGTGCTCGTCCAGACTATGATCTATGCCAAATACCATCGAGATCCGTTCAGCCGTTTAGACTAAGTCTAACAAATCTATCCATCTAAACCTTCCCATTTGCAATATTATAAGTAAGAAGTAGGATTATGAACTCACTAGCAATAATAAAAATGCTGCCGCCGCCGGTAAAACAGTCTTTCAATAGCCACGTTAGTGCAGAGTCTCGATACGGCACGAATTTACTTCTTCCATTTCCACCGTTCACTGGAACCAAGATAAGATAAACGGCACTCTTTCTCTTAAGTTACCTATTTACTTATAGACTAGCTGTTGCTTGCTACTTCACCCACGTGAAATTAATTAGCCTACATTACTCACAGATAAATTACCTTTCTCATGTTGAATGATTTTTTGAAATAAGACCAGTAGTTTTTATATACTATTAGTATAGACATTGTAGATATAAAAGTATAGATATAGATTACTTACCTAGCGCTGAAATAACATTACTGAGTGCAACTAAAGATTTATTAATGTTTGCCCCTTCCTTTTGTCGTCCTCCGCCACAACCCTCCCAGCTTGCTTTTTCACTGAAATATGATTATAGTTGACAAAGTGTGGCTCGCAACAACGACCATATGAAATTAAAAAATAAACCCTATGTTACCCAGCGATAACGTACTATCCTTTCTAATGGTGAAAGAATTTTTGTAATCGGCTGAATATTTTTTCACTTGTTATAAATATAAACAATACATACAGAAATATAAAACTATCCTCTTTATAATATTAGTATAGATAAGTTTACCTATATACGGCAAAGGATTGTTCAGTGTTCAAAATCTTTTATGATCAATTGACTCTACGAAAAATTTAGCTTTGAAAATATTATGATCACCAAAACCAATTAGGAATAAACAAGAGTTTGGACAAAATTATACGATGTTAATTGATATGGCAAAAAGTGATTTGTCCCACCTGCCAGCTAAATCAGCTAAATGTAGCGTGGCTCGTGGCGTGGTGAGCTGCAGCAAGGCGTGTGAGCGCGAGGAGACAGGGTTGCGCCGCGTGGCCGCCGTGCGCCGCCGCTTTGCGCCCTCGCACACCAGCGACAACAGAGCGTCCACGTCGCGCACGCACACGCGACGGAGGTCTAACCAATTCATGATAAGCAGTACAGTCTTCATTGAGGTGATACTTGGTGTCTAATAGTTGGAAATCAACTAATGTGGAGGTTTTGTATTTAAAAAAATAAGATCATCTCTCCTGCCTTATCCTACTACCGTAGGGTCGGCGCACCGGGTTTTCGTAATCCAAATAACTCTATCATCCATCATCTCTGTCATCACTCCCTTCTTGATCATGTCACATCATCATCCACATACATACATCACACATACACATCATACATCCATCTCTTTCTAGGTCTACCTCTACTAAAAGAAATAACGCAAATTAAAATAAATAGTGCAAAAAAGAGTACGGACCAAGAGTCTGTTGATATTTATAAAAAAACTAATGTGAAATTACAAAATCGCATGGAAAAGCAAATGATGGACCATTTCCGAGGCATTAAAAAGGTGCCAACATCTGTCACAAAAGTATATGGAATATACTATATTCGGATAATAAAAAGACAATTTCAAACGTAGCGTATTCTTTTTAAAATTACAATTAAACAAAGTGACTTGTTTGTAAGGATTCTAAAGAACATCGTAAATATATCTTACAAGGATTTAACCTTAGGGATAATAGAAATATAAGTTCTATGTCAAAGTTAATTGGATACCATATCTATACTGACCGCTGTGCCTAGTTTTAATCTTTTAAAAATGTAAATAAACATTGCACACATTTACTTAGCATTGAGGCGTCTTTTGCGAAAGTCGATACAATCAGTAATCGTTGTACGTAGTCTTCCTT